TGGCAAACTGATGGGACGTCATCACCTGCAGTCAGTCTGTCGTAAAGATCAGTGTTGCCAACTTAGCAATTTTGTTGCAAAAGTTAGCAACTTTTCAGACTACCCTAGCAACTTTTTCTTCCAAAAGCACCTAGCAACAAATTGAGCTATTTTTAAATGTTATTTGGCTACTTTTAGCAACTTTTGATACGTGACTCAAACAATAAAAAGGCACACATTTTCCATCTAAATTTCACAAATACCTTACCAATTCGAGCTGGAGTCTGATGATGAAACGGTTGAAGTGGCTGATCGACAAGAGACTGATTCGCAAGCACGACTGGACCAGGACGTTTCTCAGTGGTATATGTCAAGTGTTAACAAGTTTGAGGTAATTATAAGATGTGATAAAACAAATTTACTCTCACAGCGTAGGATACAGCGTCTTCTCGACATGATGTTAACCACATGGAAATGTTACTGTTTGTGGGCGGGCAAGTTGGCGACGTAGAACGTGGGCAGACATTATGCAAATGTTACTTCGTGACGTAGAGCCGTAAACCGAATAAGATTCGAATTCCTGACGACTCGTTTAGGCGACTGCGAGCCGACTCTTTTTTGATAGACAATAACTTTATTTATCGTGCACTGTCTGCTTCACAACTTTGCAGATAGTTTATGTTCACATACAGCTACATGACACACTGCATGAAAGGTAATATTCGAAAAGGCATAATAGGGGCACATTAAATTGTATGTAGTTTTTTATGTTTTTTAGGCACAGACAAAGATTGCCAAACTAATCGGCACTAGGACAGTTCTACAGGTGAAGAGCTATGCTAGGCAGTACTTCAGAAATAAGGTATGACTTTAGCCCATTTCCACATTACTATATGAAAATCCATACGGTTTTGGTTCAATGCGTGTAGTGCTTTCAAATTAATTCATATATAAGGGAATAAATATAGACAACCAAGGGGGTATTTTTAAAATCTAAATGTAAAAAAATATATATTTTCTTTAGACCTTAAAAAATATATTGCCAACTCTTCATTCTTCTGTTCATAATTTTTGGGGTCATACCACTGAAAAGACAACCTGAACTAATTTTGCATGTTATGATATTTATATAATATTTTTGATTGTAATGATAATATATATTTTAAGAGATTTATTATCACCAATACACAATATTATCGTGCTAATTTATTTATCTATTTACTAAGTTTCATTGCCAGAAAATCAACCAACGCCAGCGTATGGCTAAAAGCTGCCTAATGTTTTTAATATGACTGAATTTGTATTTAACATAAAATTTAATAGAGACATTGTAAGTTACTCATTATAATGCTTAAATTTCCTCAATTATTCAAAAAGCATCTACAGAAAACGAGCAAAGAACATTTACATTACCTAAGAACATCTTTGACTTTCTAGCGCGAGTATATGCACTTTAAAAAACACTCGCATTACAATCAGTGAAGCTATCTATGCTGGAATTTGAAGACAGACATGTTTAGTGTTAGAACAAAAAATGAAATAGGTGAGAGTGTTATTGTGTTACGATTCAATTCAATCAATTCCTTAAGAGTAATTCATGATAACCGAATCAAATGTGTCGACCTACTAAATTACTCCATAAAGAGTGTTTAAACGTGTTTCCCCACAAATGACAACAAAGTAGTCATTTGACAAAAAAAAAAAAACTACAGGAAGTCATCAATACAGCCAATGAAGTAATGTGCCCACTTGTTCTGGCGAGCAGCATGTTCTTCTTGTTCAGCAATGAGTTGACTTGTTCAGTCTATTCATGAACAACCAGTTCATTCAATTTGTTCACGAAAGAGACTCGTTCAGTCTCAACTATTGTTCAGAATCGAAACACCAACTCACCAGTGAAGATCGGATCATAATGAAATTCTCTTCTATAGCATTCAAATGTTGTTTGTGTTTTGAATCTTAAGTGAATCACTATTTTTCCGTATCTTAAATGATTTGTTCAAAAAGACTAACAAAACAGTTCATGCCAATCGACCGACAAAACTTCAGGGTTGGTTTGATCTGTTTGAAACCGTTCCATGAGCGTGTGGAAAAATAACCTTTCATAAGAGTTTATAATATTTAAATTGAAGCAAAAGTAACAGGTGATATTATTACCAAGCTTTGAAGATAAAAGAAACCGTTAAAACCATGTTTTGAGGTGCTTTAATAATTTACATATTTTAAGTAATATACATCAAGAGATAATGACATTTCTCTCATTAAAATGCATCCAATAAAAAGGTTAAGAACTTTGATGCCATATGATGCAAATTAAAACAATTCTATAGTGCACTCCCACATTAGAAATGTGATTACAACAGCATGATTCCATATAGTTAAAATCATAAAGTGTTGTCATGTAAAGCTTGCAGTCATGTAATATAATATATGAATGTAGCCTTGTCACCAGTCTCGCTCATGTGGTTCTCTGTAAGGTATGCCGTGGTGTTTGAAGACATCCTGAGCATTATAACCCCAATTTGCTATTGTGTGCTGCACATTTTATTGAAGACAGCTTCCACAATATGACACAGTACAGTGCCGGATTCGCCCAAAAGATTTTGTTGAAAGACGGAGCAAGGGGCGTGGCAGTACTGAAACACCGTCTAAGCTGTTCGCCAATCACAACGCACTGGGACAGCTAACCAATCACAACACATTTTGTTTTTCGGAAGGCGGACCTTCATCAAAGCCGGAACTAATCGAGCCGTTTGTGCCAGCCTGGGGAGAAAGGTATTTTAATAATGTAAATTATGTGAAAAATAATGCGTTTTTCGAACCACCAAGCTTGAGAGCATATTTTAGTACACCCCCAAAACAAAATCAAGACTTTGTAAAAGAGCATAATAGGACCCCTTTAAATGATTTTTTTCTCCCTCTCTGGCATCTTTATTTGGAAAAAAATTTGCATTTATGACTATAGCAGAATAAAATAGATGAAGTTTTGAAGTTACATTTTTAATTAATTTTTAAACACCAATTTATACCTAGCATTTCATTCATTTAGAGCTGAAATGCTGAAGGTAATAAGTTTACATGCTCTACATATCATTCCTATCAAGCTAGGAAAGCACATGTTGCACTCATCTTCATCTGCCCTTTTTATCTATCAGGTCTGTTAAGAGGAAAACAGTGGGACGTTCCAAGCAATAGCAAGAAAACAACTGGCTTGGGCCCAAGACTCTGTAAGGGAGCTCAGTAGCTTCTGACTTATGAAGCGCCAGCTTTCAAGAGCTCCCACTCTTCCTATGGGACGACAGACTCACTAACAATCTCTGTTATGTCCATCAGCTGACCAAAGAAGATTGACAGTTTTGCTAGCCGCCAACACAAAATTGTTTTCGTTTTTTTTTGATTGCTTGTCTTTTTGAAATTCAGTTTTATTATTTACTGCTGTGAAAATCAAGTAGCTACATTCTTGTTCTTCACAACCGGACGATGTTGTTATGTATGGTAAGAACAAAGAAAGCCCCTCAGTTTAATTGCTTGGTTATGGCTATTTTCTTTACTGCAGGCCATAAAAAAAAAAAAGTCTGTACAAACAGTTTTCTCGATGGCATTTGCTTCACTTCTTGGCATCCGCTCAAGGAGGTCATCGTAGTGTTTTAGTCCAATCCTTAGAGTGTGATTCAAAACCGCCTTAGTGCGAATATCCTCCAATGTGCGAAATCCCTTTGATAGTAAAAGAAATCAAATAATCCGTTTAAACTTGTAAAATATTATGGTTGTTGCTTAATATTACTGAATATGTTCCACAAAGTTTAAAGCTGCTGTAAATGTTCTGCACCACTAATAGCACCAAACATAATAGCAAAAAAAAAAAAAGTAGTTTCCCAAACATTTCCCATCTTAGCTTGGAAGGAAGGTTAAAAAAGGGGGGGAACCTGGCATACTGGTGAGCCTACTGATGACTTTCTCTTCTGAGTACTAAGTTCCGAGAACTTGGAAGTGTTTTAGAAAAACAGGTAGTCCTGCACTACATTCACATTATTGATTGCAGCCGTTTCTATGTTTTTTCTGATTAGATAACAGGCTCACTTTCAGATTTATTTATTTTTATATTTTTTTGGCCATTTACAGAGTCTAGGGCTGTTAGACTAAACTGTTTCTCAAGACACCTATTTTAGTGTTTATATTACCGTATTGGCCCGAATATAAGACGACCGCGTTTTTTCTGATGTATTTCCAAGAAAAAAAACATCGTCTTATATTCGGGTCAATATGGTAATTTGTGGCCATGTTGCATTAATTTGTTCCCTCATTTTAGTCAAGTCGTGGCCAAGATGTACCAATTCATAGTCTCGTTTTAGTTAAAGGAATGGTTCACCCAAAAATGAAAATGGTCATTTACCCACCCTCATGTCGTTCCAAACCTGTATGAGTTTCTTATGATGAACACAAAATAAGATATTTTGAAGAATTCTGAAAAACCAAACATTTGTTGGTCCCCATTGATTTCCACAGTAGGGAAAGAAATACTATGGAAGTCAATGGGGACCATCAACTGTTTTATTACTAGCATTCTTCAAAATATCTTCTCTTATGTTCAGCATAACAAACTCAGGTTTCAAACAACAAGAGGGTGGGTAAATGATGGGTGTACTATCCCTTTATACCCTTTAATTCATTTTAACATTCGTTTTTAGCTAAATTGTGCCACACTGTACTAAATCAATCCCTCATTTTAGTTAAATTATGGCCACATTGTATTAATTAACTCCCTCGTTTTAGTTCAATCGTGGCAGCATTGTACCAGCTCGTTCCCTAAAACAGCTTCTTAATTTGTGGCCACAATATTCTTTTTTTTGTGGTTTATATTTATGCATGTGTATTTTATTCACATCTTATTTTTATTATCTGTGTGTTGTTGTTGTTGTCTCCGTGTACTGGAAGCTTGTGACACTATAACAAATTCCTTGTATGTGCAAACATACTTGGCAATAAAGCTCTTTCTGATTCTGATATCTATTTTTCCCCCCTGCATTTCATGTGTGGGGCTCTGTATAGTTAAACAAATCATGTTGCAGTACAGTGGCACCCAGCACATACAATTTTTTTTCATACAATTAATATTAATCTTTCAAATTAAACATTGAACTACAATTCCCTGTATAACAGTCTTACTTGTTGATACCACATCTGAGCAGTCTTGGCCCCAGCGCCCCAGATGTTAGTGAACATTTCAAGAACAGGCACCTCCTCCCCAATGTGATCCAGTTTACGCAAGTGCCCACTTTCCATAATTTCCATGATCTTGTCTGCCATGCGTTTACCAATGCCTGGGATCTTACATGCTTCCTATAAATAGATAGGGTTAAAAAAAAAAAAAAAACATGTTTATGTATATTTACTGTATTTTTTAAATAAATAAAATGGTAATGTCAGTTATTAAAGTATTTATTTTTTAATCACTGATGCATGCTTGAAACTAGTCATAATATGCAACGACAACCATATGTGTTCTACAAATAAGCACCTCAGTGAACCCCAAAACCTCTATGGACTCATATCTGTATCTGAACTGACCTCATATGAAGTGATGGGCTTGTGGTAGCTCTTGAGGGCGTTGATCGCTTTAGAGTATCCCAGAGCTCTCCATTTATCGCCCGTGTGCGTATAGGCTTTGGCCAGCGGCTCCAGTTTGTCAGTAATGTGCTTATTGTGGTTCTCCCCTTTAGTTGTGGATGGTTGGGAACAGACCCACTTCCCAGACAAAACGGGATTCTCTGCCAAACTCTGAGTCGGGTTGCTTTCAGATGGGTGGACGCCGCTGATCAAGGCCTCCAGATCGTTCTGAGATACACCATCTTCCTCATGGTGCTCCTCCTGAACCTCTGGCACCTGGGAGTCGTATTAAAAGCACTGCATGAGGGGAAAACCAACTGATGGATCTTACAGATGGAGACAATTACATCCAATTCCAACCTTTCTTTCTTACCGTCTCTGTGAGATTTTCAAGGATTTTCGAAGGATCCTGTGCTGCTGCTACATCTGGAACTGGGCTGACTGCCGTCTCATTTGACTCCTCAGCAATACCAACTGTGGGACTGAGGAGATGTTCATTTAGAATTTATATCTACGCACTTTTGCATTGAATAAACAATTACAAATGCATTCAAAAGTCAAACAGGTGTCTAAATATCAATGTAGTTTCACACATTTCTTAAATAAAACCTCAAGCAATGCCATGGGAATTAAGTCTCCAGTGCCTTACCTCTCAGGAGGAAGAAGGCTGTAGTCTTCAGGGTCTAGTAAACTTTTCTCACTGATGCAGGCACTCAACCAAGTGCATTTGACCAGATGAACAGCAGAGGACAGTCTTTCCACTTTCAGAAGTCTCAAAGCTTTCTTACAATCGACTGAATCATCAACAATGACGTGTGTGCAGCTGGGAGAGAAGGTGGAAACTACCTGTCCTCCATTCTGGGTGACCTGCCGAAGGAATATATCACACCTGGATTTCCCTATACCAGCTGGAACGATGTATATTTCGGTTCCCTGGAAAACTGTACCTAAGAAAAAGCAAAGACATTTAAAATACAACCACTAATACTATACATACTTGATTGGGCTGCATGAAGAAGACTGAAATCAGCAGTTGAAATTGTTTTCAAAAATGCTGATATTTGAATAGAACTACATTACACAAAAAAAGTCTAATTTATTGATAGACTGATTGTATAATGTTGATTATCACATTCAAATGAACAACCTATACCATAAAATGACCTTCAAAATTATTTAAAAAACTTTCTTTTTCAAATAATAGAAATGTTGACAAAAAAAGTTCTACAAAATTATAATTCTCACATTTCAATTTAAACAATTTTAAGAAAAAAAAAGACAAGTCAAAATTATATTGCATATATTTGAGAAATTGCACTTTGTTTTAATCCAAGAATATTCCTTTAAATTTTCAAACGAGCCTCAGTCACAGAAATCGATGTGTTGTAAACATAAATTGTTTAACAATCAGAAAGTATCTGAATACTGTGTTTTCTGAACAGGACTGCATTTCCCAAGAGCATCAAATAGGCATTAATTATACATACCATTTGCATATAATATAGGAACGACTACACAATAGCTGTATATTTCAGTATTGACAGAAAATAGATTATTACTTATAAATCATGATGTTTTTGATGTAAAAATCTTGATAACATAAGTGGATCTTAGAGAACAGTACAAACTAAAAAAGGCAGTTCATGACCCCTTTAAAAGCAACAGCACTTCACTCATCCAGGAATAATACATAATTAAGTGCAACAGGAGGATCTAATTGAAAATATTGCATACAGTAAAATATGGTGATTTATTCTCTGAAACTGCCCTTGTTGTTTTACTCAAATGTGTTTTAGAGAATTATGAACCTGTTTTTGGTTCAGAAGGCGTCTTTTTGAGGGGAGGCGCGTCCTTCTGCTCATTAGGCCTGGGTCTCTTTACTTTAGGGAAGGCTTTCATGATGCCATGACCCTCCATTCCGGTCAGGGAAAGGAGAGGAGCTTTAAAAACAAAATTACTGTCATCAGTAGGCTTCACATAGACACAGAATACAAAAATGTAACGTTAGAGGCCTACAGCAGAAGGCATCATAAGACTTAAGTCCTTATATTGGCAACCAGCGCTGTCCCAGATAAGGAAGCGACTGAACAGATCGTTACATTACAACGTATACTCACTTAACATTACAAATCTTTAAATACATAGTTATATTATATTTGCAACTTCGATAACTTAAAAACACCACAGACGTACCTCTACCAGCACCTCTTTCTAAGAACAACTCACGAGTGTTTTTAAACGGATCACCTTCCGGGTCATAGTCAGAACTGGCGCTGACGTTTTTAAAAAATGAAACTTTTAAAATTATACATTATTCTTTTTACTTATTTTCAATACGTTCTTGTTTCTTATAATTGTTATAATTACGTATATTGTTGTATATAAACTAGGTAAATCATTAAAAATACGAAACATATTGTTTGAGAAATAGCGGTTGCCTTGGCAACCTCTGGCGTGGGCTTGTTTGAGGAAATGAAACCCACGCGGAAGCATGGCTGTTCAACACTGGGCAGACACTCTCAGGAAAGCCAAGAAAACTGCATTAATATCTGATGGTGCGTATACATCTTCTCTGTTCTTTTTAGATTAGTTAATTTGCATGTGTATTTTTGCTGGCAGTCGTGTTAATAGTCTTGCTAATAGGATTTATAAGTCGTATATACTTGCTACACGCTAATAGCCACGGGACCTATGCAAAACATCATAAAATTACCAGTTAAACGAATTGTTTATTTAGTTTAAAGCTTGAATAATGTTCGATGTACGCTTACGTATAAATTGAGAACCACTTTCATATGCCTTTCTCATTAGGGAAAAGGAAAGTTCATTATCTGTTTGAGGATGGCAGTGAGATGGCTGAGGAGTATGAGCTAAAAGGAGATGAACTTGTCTGTAAGTCATTTTTCTTTTCTGGTTTTACCTAATTAAAAGGCATTCGAATTCAGTTTTGTATTTTGTAATTATTTCATGCTTCTTTAACTTAGTGCGAAAGTGGCGACATAAAAGCACTTTTGGAGGCCAGGGACAGTGGACATTGGAAGTTGGTGAAACAAACCCAAACGGTGTTCCCTCAGATTTAATAAAAGAGAGCAGTTCAAATGTAAGGTTACTTTTTTACTTTCTTACACAATAGATGGTGATGTTCTTAATCTGTTTATAATGATGTCTCTTTTTATGCACACAGCCATTGTTCATGCGTAAGGACACAAAGACCAGTTTCCAATGGAGGGTCCGTAATATTTCTTACCCTATAGAAGTTTACAGTGTGTCAGCAGAGCCAGCGGAAAGATGTTGTGTCATCCGAACCTCAAACAAAAAGTTAGTTATTTATAATTGATATAAACCATTGGAAAACCCCAATAGTGTTGATTGTGGTTTATGCAATGAGTGTTTTAGAATAACTTGGTGTTTATTTGACTGCTTGAATTGGACAAAGAATCACTTTTTTTAAGTGGGCAGTTAATAGTTCACCCAAAAATGAAAATTTGTTGAAAATGTAGTCATGCCATCTAAGATGTTTATGAGTTTGTTTCTTCATGGGAACAGATTTGGAGAAATGCATTACAAAAGCATTACATCACTTGCTCACCAATGGATCCTCTGCAGTAAATGGGTGCCGTCAGAATGAGAGCCCAAACAGCTGATAAAAACATCACAATAATATACAAGTAATGCACATGACTCCAGTCTGTCGATTAACATCTTGTGAAGACCTGTTTGGTCTTGTGAAGCGAAAAGCTGCATGTTTATAAGAAACAAATCCATCATTAAGACGTTTTTAACTTGCTTCTGGCTAAAATATGAGTCCACAATCCATAATAACGCTTCCTCCAGTTAAAAAGTAATCTTGTTGTCACTGTTTACAAAACAAAGTAGTCCAAAACAGTTGTAAACAAAAATGTGGGTGAATGTAAGAGGACAACAGGGGATGGGCTTTTTCACTGGAGGAAGTGTTATTGTGGATTATGGACTCTATTATGGATTTTTGGCCAGAAGTAAAAGTTTAAAGTTAAAACGTCTTAATGATAGATTTGTTTCATACAAACGCACAGCTTTTCACATCACAAGATGTTTATGCATTGTTCTTAAAACTGGAGAAATACAATAAACATATCAAATAAAATTAGTCTAAAAAGGCAACTTCTGCTTATAAATCATCTTTGTTTTCAGTCATACCAAGTAAAAAAGTGTATTGATTAACAAATTGTTTAGTTACAATAGCCCCACAGTAACCCTATAGGTGGCACTGTTGAGCTAGATGGAAAATAGATGGCCAGTCATGAGGAACATTCTCTCATTCTTCATCTCCTCATTTCCCAGGTACTATAAGAAGTTCAGTATTCCAGATCTCGACCGTTGCCAGCTGCCTTTGGAGAGCGCAGCCTTGAGTTTAACCCACGCCAACAACACTTTAATCATCAGCGTGAGTGAACTCTCACCGCTAGTCTCACTTAATCACTTTCTCTAAGCTCTTTCTGTAGTGTAAGGTATGTAGTCACAGTTTTTTCCACACGATGTAGAGGAACTTTCCCTTTTGCATGGATCTGGGACCAGGTTGCCAAAGCCCTAATCCACACTAAGAGAGCACACAAATCTGGTCTCAGATCATCAAAAGGGCAACTTTTTATTGGTTCACCTAAGTAGAGAAGGTTGGTCTGCTCCAGTACTCAGCTATTTCATCCAGCAATGGATTTTATATGGAGTTTCTCTCACTTTTGTTGTAGTACAAGAAGCCCAAGGAGATTTTAACACTGGAACAGGAGCTGCTTGGGGAACTGAAGAAACTGAAGGAGACAAGTGAAGGAGATATTGACTGTAAAACTCAGTGAACTGCCATAGATCCAGAGCCTTTGCATTATTGTATTTGTCTGGCTGTTATTCTTCATGTTCATGTAGACTTAGAGTCTCACATTGGCATGTTTCTATGGCATGTTTCTGTCAGCCTTGTGTGTCCAATTAACTCACTTTCAATGTGCGTTATTTATTTTTTTCAATGTAAAATTTCAAATGTTATGCTGATTGATGTTCCTACTGTACAATTGTTCTTTGAGTCTAAATAATAAAAGAAAAACAATATTATTATTATTAAAATTATCATAAGAAGTTTGCTTTATTCCAGCTATTTCCACAATATAGCTAAAAAAATAATAATCTAAAGACTTAATCATAAAATAATTATAGCAGATGCATAGGAAATAAAAAATAAAATAAAATTAAAGAAATAATCTGCAAAAAATACATCAAAAACAAAAAGAAAAGAGAAAAATATATAAATAAAATGATACAGTACAATCTGTAACATGCAGCAAATTCAGTGAATGTACAGCTAAAGAGAATTAATTGAAGCAAATTCAAAAAATGACAACTTATGCATTTAACAGTAGTACAGTTGCATAATTATTGGAGATTCATCATCATATTTCTATTACATGAAGGTCACTAACCTTGAGCCTCAGCATGCTGTAATTACTGCCATCTCGACTCATCAGTTTTCCTGAAGTGCATCGTGGGGAAATTAAACATTTCCTTCATCTGGGTTCCTTGATTTTATCTGTATTCACCTCATGTTTATGTACGATGTTTGGCATGGACCACAGTGCTGTTTGTGTTTCTACTGTAAATAGAAGACTACAAACAAACTCTTTGTTGGTTTAAGGCAAAGACACAAAACAATACCATGTGAATATACTGTTTCTGACTCTGGTGATTCTTTGCTTCTAGTTCCCACTCCACAGCTTTTGTGCCAAACCAAGAGACTGTATGAATAAAACAGGCACTAAACCACAAGTCATTCTCACTATTGTGTATAACAGCCTCCGAGGAGGATGTTTTCTGCCCTGGAATTCACCAGTCAGCTTTCAGGGCTGACACTGCAGTCTCTTGTTCTGCTTTTTAACATGGAACACGTAATATTTTAAAGTGTCAAATGTGGAAAATATCGCAGATTAGATATGTTTTTAAGCAATAATAATTATTTTGTTAAAACTTGCATTATATTTAAGTAGTAAAACTACCATTTTTCTGGGTCATTTTAGGTATGTCATAGCAAAAAAAGCATATTGTTTACGTTTTGTGGCTTTACTTTTGAAACGATGATTATTCAAACATTTAAGAATTTGTAGAGCAAAAAAATGTAGACTATTATCGGTTGTTATTTAGATGGAGGCAGATTTATTTTTTTTAATAAGATCATACAAATCCAATGCCAGGGGTAACTACAATGAGAATTCAGTTTCAGGTTGAATGGAGGCAGATCTGAACCGGAGTTTGCAATCGATTACAAGAAAGGGGCGGAGTTTAAAGGGGTGATATGATGCTGCTAAAAAGAACATTATTTTGTGTATTTGGTGTAATGAAATGTGTTTATGCGGTTTAAAGTTAAAAAAACACATTATTTTCCACATACTGTACATTATTGTTTCTCCTCTATGCCCCGCCTTTTTGAAACGCGTCGATTTTTACAAAGCTCATCGGTCTGAAAAAGCAAGGTGTGAATGAAATCGCATCATATGACCCCTTTAAGGAGACTAAATGATTGGAGAAGTCTTGTTTATTTGATATGAGAGAAGTCTGTCATTTTACCAAGATGTATGACATTTTAATGTAAAATAAAATATTATTTAAAATAATAGCCTATATATCTTCAGGGGCGTAGATTACGCGGGGGACATGTCCCCCCCACTTTTAATATCACGTAAATTCGCCCCCCGCACTTTTTCGGGCAAGTGTGTTCACATAGAGGTTTTGTGATCAATCACAATTAAAAGTAAATTATGTGCAGTTAAATACAGTGCTGCAGGAATGAGTCCTTTAAACCCGGAAACAAGTTCGCATTTTTTTACTTCCGGTTCCATTGTCCTAAAGTCAGTAGGTTTTTTGAATGAGTTTTTTTTTTGTTAGATGCCTAAAGGTTTCTAGCCTAAGCTTTGTATTTAACACAAGCTCAAAATATGTTCACATTTCATTCTGTCTTAAAACACAAGTAATAGTGTCTTGAAAACAATTGTCTAAATGGGACTACAGAGGTTGTCTGGGACAATAAACATCATCATAAACATTTCTAATTAGGCACTGAACAGGATAACCATTAAAATATGTCTTATTTGACCAGGCAGACCCATTTGTTCATGACCGGCCGTTGTTTAAAATCCTCAAATCAGATTGTGTCTTACTAGCTCTAGAAATTGTTTTCCAGTCAGTATGCGTCACACTGACTGCTATTGACTACACAACTTTTGCCCAGATTTTTGCAACGATTTGCAATCTGGAGGAGTCAAGTCTCGTTGCTGAAAGTCAAAGCCGGTCTGCAGATATTGGGCAGTCGGGAGTTTCAAAGAAAATTGTGAAAAGTGTAGACTATGATGAGCACAGACTCGTGCATCTCTTAGCAATGAGGTTTATGCTTCTCTTATGGGGACCAAGGACAGATAGATAGAAATACAAGTAAAGGATAGAAATACCAGTACATTTTGACATTGTGGGGACATTTTTGTCGCCATAAATCATACAGAATGAAGTTTTTTGAAAATCTAAAAATGCAGAAAGTTTGGTGTGAGGGGTAGGTTTAGGATTAGGGTAAGGGGATAGAAAATACAGTTTATACAGTATAGAAATCATTAAGTCTATGGAATATCCCTATAATGATATATCATTATAGGGATATTCCATAGACTTAATGATTTTATAGGAAAACCAGTGTGTGTAGTATTTTTAAAACATTGATACTGTCAATTTGATCTCTTAGAAATTTATGATCGATATTCAGACACAAAAACCCTTTTAAAATACAAAGACAAAGTCTAATTTCTTAAATGATGCAGGCCTAGTGTTAGCCATGCAGTCTTTTGACACGAACAGAACAAAGCACCGATTTAAAGAGTTTTATTAGGTCAGTCAAACGCTTTTCTAGATGCATTTCTACCGAAACATGGCCGTGCACGTGGAAGCGGTCCAAGGTCCAACTGACAAATCAGAAGTCCTGGGAAAAAGGCGACAGGGGAAGAGCTCAGCGCTGTGATTTTTGTTCAGTGTCTCTTCTTCCCTTTCTCCCTCCCCATCCTGAGGCCTCAATGGTCATGCTCAACTGCCTCAACAGAGAGAGACACTCTTTTTTGGCCCTTTTCATTCGTCTGTGCCCCTCTTTGCCTCTTCCCAGCCATTTGCCCTCTTTCAGCCCCTCTCGCCCACATCTCAACCCATAACACCCCCTGAACGTTTTCTCTTCCCCCGAGTCGCTCTTGGTTTCTCTCTTTCGCCCGCCCTCACCCCCTCTGTGTGACTGGGCTTCCTTTTTTGATTGCTGACCCCTCCTTGTGTTATTATTCAGGCCCACCATTGTATGACATGTTTCTTTTCTACGGCGCCTACAAAGGGAGCATTTGATCAAGGGGTTACGGTGTGCGGGTCGCAGAAATGCAACTACACGGTGGTAACCTTTGTTTGTGTTCAAGCCTGAGAGATTTATGAGGCTCAATTTTGTTCTCAGGGCATGATGGGTTTACCTGTGATATCATTAGTGCCATTCGAACCAATTTAGTTGTCTATATTTCTCAAAGTATGATTTCAACAATATCATTTTGCAGAATAATTCAACATAAACACACCAGATGTTTAATTACTTAAACTCACCCGTCCAGTAAGCGTGCCTCTCTTGTTCATGCAAATGTAGTATCCTGTTTTCGCTCCTCTGATTCGAACCCGGCTTCCAAACGTGTCGGTTTCCACAACAAGTTTAGCTGGAATTGTTAAACCATTGCAAAGTCTGTTCATTTTCCACTTTTAGGTGATATGTATGCTTTTGATTGTATATTGGAGAGTTTTGGGATTTACATTGTTGTAAAGTAGTCTGTGCTGAAAAAGCCAATATTTAGTCTAGATGTGTGAATGGGTGTGTGTTAGGCCAAGACTACAAAGAGTAAGAGTAACAAAGAAGGGTATAAACCGATGACGTTGACCTCACCTCTCTTCATAAACATACTCGTACGTTGAGTTGTAAAGCTATGAAAATTCCTCATAAAATGACCCTTCAAAAAAGTGGGCAAAGTGGATGGACTGCACGAGTGGAAAGATGGCTAGACGTGCAGAAATACTTTGGTGACAGGAATTCGTTCCCAGCGGACGGGATTCTAACCACTGTTTTGTTTGGAGAAGAAGTGCCGCAGCTCACTTAAAACAGGTGCCTTACTGAATAGCTTTAAAATTACATTGAGTTCAAATAAAAACAAGATTGACTTTTCATTGCCTATTTGCAGCGTCACTGCACACTATGAATCATATGTCAACCATCCATTTAGCAAGGAAAAAATACACATGTAATCTTGGAGCGAATAGCTCTTGACAAGTGATTGAAACTTCAGATCATCATCTTGCCTCACACATAATATAGGAACATTTGCAATAACCATATTTGTTTAGGAAGAGATGAAAGATGAAAACTAATGATGCTAGAAAAGGTTAGAAAATTGCATGTCATATTTCTGTCCTACAACTCTTTATTATATGGAGAACTATTCAGGAAATGTTAAGACGGCCGAGGTAAGATGAGTACTGATGTGTTTTCCAGAACCAAACCGGGTTTCTCTTGAGATTCCCAAACTCATAACAATATAGAATCCATTTCAAACTATGCAGGTTACTTTTTGGCAATGACATTTACTGGATTTTCTGAAGTAATACCTTCAACTGACATGTTTTGTCCTGTTGTTTCAAGCTGACAAAGTAAAATCATGCAGAAAAGTGTGTTTGCAAAGACTGTGACTTGCCATGAATATCTCCATCCTCGCCATTGGCGTTGACCCTCTTATTGCCCAAGACTTGTACATGTTTACCACTCGTCCGGCTATAGAGCTGATAAGTCCTTGTTAATCGCCGGCTCATCCTGTCCGACAGGCGACTCTGCTCCGTTACATGGTGCTTAAAATTTGGTACAGAGACGGACTGCATCGTCATCTATAAAAATGTGACAGAAGAACATACAGATTTGTGGTGATGTATATAAGAACAACACTTTTTTAGGGACAATAAAGGTGACACTGTTTCTCTTCAGATTCAAATCATTCTTTTTGCAGCGATGGTTGGCACTCTGAGGGCAAGTGCCCCATCCACACTCTGAATGACATGCCAATGAGGGGTCGACCAACACTGATCTTTCACCCCGTCTCTTTGGGCCCGTTCTCATAACGATTTTCTTTTGTAAGTCAGCTATGCGGCGTGCCCACATGTTAGAGCCATTACCTTTAAAGTGAGGGGTTTACGTCTTTTCAAGATGTTTGACAATTTGCCAATGACTCTATTAATAATGAGTTGTTTGCACGGTTATAACACATTTACTGCCCACATATAACAGTAAGAATAAAGGTTTTATCGCTTTCAGTGTGTCCTGCTTATGTTTGACTGGAAAATATTCGAATGGGAAGACTGAGTAGTGTTGTAACACTTTTTTTTGTTTTGTTTTGTTTTGACTTAATTGCACTATTCCTGTATGTATTTACAGAATTGTATACATTTATGAATTATTCCTAAACTGTAAATATTATTGTCAGATTTAAAAAAGTGTTGCTTATAGGTGGAATGTAACACAAATAGAAACTGGATTTTGCTATGGATGGAAACTTATTAAACATAAAATAAACATTTAATTGAACACAGCACATAAAATATATGATAACAACTCTTGATGTGTGTTTGTCACTCTCACATTTATCACCCCACTGTCCTATTTTGTTGATTTTTCATGCACTGAAAAGTCGTGTCACAATCCTCCTTCTCTGGTCAGACATGATATTTATATTTTTAACATGAAAATAAAAAGTTGTGGAAGTTACAGGGCTGTATATAATTAAAGAAAACAGCCTGCTGGTTCAGATGAAATCAGTTCTGTCTTTTAACATCCACCAACACTATCGCTAAATTTATAAACCAGATCTAAACATTTTACTTTCTTTCTTCCTTTTTTTTTTTTTTTTTACAGAAACACTTACAAATTATACAGTCTCCTGAAGGGGTTGGTTGTCATGTATGATGGTGATTTCAACCCTTAACTCATTTCTAATTGGTTAAACCGATATTACACTCTGTTACACATAACATAGTCCCATCAGTTTATCTATTAGCTTGAGATGCTTGTTTGCAAACACAAAATGCAGAAGACTTACCTGAGTGTAAAAACACAGAGTCATAAATTGAAGTAATCTGAAATACACAAAAAAAAAACAACAGTTAATTACGGAATTGTTTTTTTTTAAACAATAAAAATAACTCTTCAGCACAAGTCTATATTAAGTGTACTTACAGGTAACCTAACCTCGATGATTTCAGCCTCATTGTGAGATTTCCAAGCCCTGTCTGATTATTATCCGAAACAATAAGTTCTTCATTAATTCCTCTGTGCGTGTATATTATTGTGTGAAGATGCTCGGTCCATCGGACTTTTAGCAAAAATAACAATAAACTGAGTGACAGGATACTGGTATCGACAGTGATTTATTCATCCACTGAGTCCATGTCAAATTAATCCGTCACGTAACTTTTATTCCTTAGCGTTCAAGCACATTACAGTGACTGTTCTCACAAACATAATTCATGATCGATGTCCGATTACAGGCGAAGATACGAAAAATAAAACATTCTTCATAGAAAATCAGAGACAACATCCGGCAGCGTGCGCACACCCGTCTTGAGACTTTGCATTATGTTTCCTCGCGGTATCTCCAGCACTTATGTAAATGTCACTGGAAGAGTCTGAAGTCACATGTAGGTTGATAAACTGTGATGTTTCCCGAGAGGCTGAGAGCAGAAGCCTCACTGTGTCTCTCTCCACTTTCAAACTCCCAATGTCAAACCCACTCTTCACGTGCAGTCTGACTCCCGTTACCTCCACAGAAGCGCCATCCCACCCCTCAACATTTAAACACCTTCACTGAGGGAGAAAGACATTTCGTTTAACCTGAACAATACTAGAAGAGCTTATAAAGTTAAAGATACACTCACAAAACTGACTGAATTTAACCCCCTATTCTAGTCACAATGGTTTTAACAATAAAACAAACTTCAAGGCTACATGTTAGGCTACATGTTTTTGTATGTAGGCTATGTTTAAGACATATTTTATGTTATTTAAATATTTAAATGGTCTTTTATTAATGTAGGCTATTATAAAGTTAGCTTTGTCTCATAGGCCTATACATCATGAAATCAAACCCAAGTGATTAATTCACATTAAAAACTGTATTAAATGAAACAAAGTGAAACTCTTCCCTCCATATTTCCAAAGTAATAAAAATATTAATGCAACTTAAATTGTAATTTGTTTCCAGTTACAATTCTAGCAAGAAATAAAACATACTTTTACTTTTTTTGAAACTTTATTAGAAAAGACAAGCTATTTTTATTTAGCTATCCAATGATTAACACGCATTTGCTCACTAAAAATGATTATAAGAGTGTTAATTAAAAGAGGAATCACAGCACCTACAAAAATCTAATAATAATCTTCATCATTGAAAATAGGTATTGATTTTATTTTATTTTTTGCAATATAGTTAATATTACCTGCATAACATTCTAAAATCATGACAGACTTAATACTCATCAAGTACTGGTTTAAGTACAGCTCTCAACCAGCCCAAACCAAAGAAATATATAACCCAACCCCTAATAGGAATTTTTGTTAAAAAAAAATCTCCCACAAGAAAAAGGGGAAAATTGCAAATATTCTGATATCCACTCCAGAACATATGCAGCTACATTAAGCTATTCCCTGCTTGCCTGTAAGATTTTGCCTCACTGTGCCTTTGTGGTGACCCCCGTTTTTTTTTTTTTTTTTTCATTCACACACTGCATGTGAAAGTAATATATGCTCCACAAGAGTTCTTTACATATAATGGCTAAACATGTGCTGTCAAATACTCCCAACAGCTTAGTTAACTTTGATACATTAGTGTATTACATAGCACATATTTCTGCTTGATAATGTAATCTGTCGATTTCATATCATGATCCCAACTGTATGCAATAAAATCAGCATGCATAATTCAATGCTGATCTGTCACAAAGCTGTAAATGTCCTGGAGGATCAATGGACTGGAATCCAATGGTGTATCTCAATTGATTATTGAGATGTTTTCATCTGCTAGTGGGATTTTTTTCCCCCTTCACATTCTCTACTCTAGCCTTCAATATGCTGCAATGACCATAACACGGATCACTGCAAGTACCACCAATTTCAAACTGAGACTATAATTCCCATGCATGACTCAAACCCCAAAAAAGAACCATTCTCACACCTTTGAGCACACATAGGAGCGACAAACCAGCTGCTAAGCAGCATAGCAAATGTCATTATCGGTATTGGTTTAATTCCATCCCATAAATCACTCATATCAGTCTGTGTGCTGGCTTAGAGGGTGAGAATGTACCTGATTGATTAGATCCAGAGGGAGACCACGGGTGATTTTGCCACCTGGAATGATTCAGTGCAATAGTTAGTCAGGTCCTCTCTCAGATATTACACTGAATTTGTGTGTTGGAAACATTTGTTCAGGTCGTGTCTGGGATTTTAATGTGTTTCTGCAATAAAAATATGACACACTGACAGTGCTCATTTGAGAAACTTTGGAGCAGCTCTTTGGTGCAGATTTACTAACTTAATTTAACTCAGGGCAATATGACTCAAATGACAAATGTCCTGACTGATTTCCATTCAATTTATTGATAACATTTTACAACAAGGTCTCATTGACTTACTACATTAGTTATTGACAACATAACACACATATAGCATAATCAGCAGAATTTGATTTCCCAGCTGTTTTATAGCTAAAATTATCCTTATGTACAAAGAAAATTTGACAAGACTTAGATCAGCTATGTGTAATGACATTATACTACTTTCACTCGTTTCCTACTTCAGTATATTACAAATTGTATATATTGTTTTTCCACAAAATAATGATATATTGTTGGAAAAGTCACCTCATAAGACCTCTTTCAACAATTACATTTATTCTGCAGTACATTCACTGACTTGACTCACTATTCACAATTGTTTTAACATTCTCTGTGTTTTCTTGGCTTTTGAGACCTCACCTTAACACATGACTTGTATTCTTATCTACACACAGTACAGTATGTTTATTTTATTGTTAGTCACTTTTACTAGACATAACTGCCTCCTTCTAATTGTTAAACTGGAACCCATAAGTTGTATATATATAACACAACACAGTGTCTCCTTTATTTGACCCTGTCTTTTTTCATAGCTTTTAAACATCATCTACAACAATGTAATATGTTCAGGGTGAGGAGCTTGTTTTCTTTCTTGTTCTCCCTCACTATAACTCTGTGTGGTCAAACAGCCAAAATAATTCAGCAGTGGTTAACCAAGAGTAATGCTTTTGTCAAATTTGAGGAAACCCAAGGGTGCATTTTAATATCACAGCCATGTTTTAATCCAGACTTTTTTTCTTCCCATAGACTTTCTTTATTCCATAGTTATATTACCCCTCTTGCTTAACCAGTTCTGGTCCTGGTCTGCCATCTGACGTCTGGTCATTGAGTGGTTGATGCTCTTCCAAACATTGTCCCTGTCCTTCTAAATAGCCGCAGGAAAATAAAAGTGAGAGACAGAGTGAAACAAAAACTCTGGCACGGGGATCTCTGGTTATTCTTAGAGGAAGAGGGCAATGAGTAAATGTCTGAAGCAGCTAATATGAGCCCACTCCATTAAGTAAAGTATTATTCACTCCAGTTGATGCCAAGCACAAAAATACACACGACTGTGAGACAGAGAGAGTGGTGGAAAGGTAGGCACCATGGAGGAAAATAAAACGGAATGTGCCTGAAAGTGGAAACAAAGTTGGCAGTAGATCACAGGTGTCATCCAGTAACACCAATCCCCTTATACGCTTGTGGATGATACATGCTGTCGGAGACTGTTCTAAACACTGGATTCAGCTGTGATTGTACTGTAACTGCCTGGATAGCAGACATGTGTTAATGGTTTTAGCACAAGCAAATCTAAGCTCTGTGACCAATAAACGTTTATGTTTCTTACACGTTTTGTTAATCTTCACAAATTAACACAACTTTTCTAAATTTTGAAGCCGAAACACAATTGCCAGAATTAAAAAGCTTTAAAAAATGCTATAAACAAACTACTTGAACACTGTCAGTCTTTATTTAAGAATATAGTTTGAGTAAGAATAGTTTGCAAGAGCACGATTATTAACATTATGAGGCTGTGAAAGTGACTAATGAGTTTATCTGTTCAGTGTGATCATGTTTATTGTCTCCAACCTCTTTTGACATATTGACAACCTCTGTAGTCCTATTTAACCCCTTATCAACCACGTTTTTCAAGACAAGTAAAAGCCTTTAAAAAATCACAAGTTAGGTATTAGTGATGTATTGTGCCGCAGAATAAAATTTTGAAAATTTGTTAAGTTTGTGTTCACCACAGACCTTATTTTGAGCATTTAACCAAAAACCCATTGACTTCAGGATCATTGCTAAAATACAAGTTTTGGGATTCAAAAATCTCATCTTTTCAGTCCTTTAGTTTCTAGCAAAAAAAATTTTTAACAGTCCCACTCTATTTTTCTTCTCATTCAAGAAGGCATTTCACTCAGATATATATTGCAATAAAGAAAGCATAACTGCAATTCAGGTTTCATGCCGACGTTAACATTTGTTATTACAAAAACTCGATTTGACTGGAAAACTTGATTCTGATTGGTCGATCAAGCCACCCAGCAGTCACTGTCGTCCAAGGCAACGCTGCATATCACACCTCTCTGGGTAACCATCATTACCTTCATGTCTTTCACATGACACTCACTCTTGTTTCATAAATAAAAAACGCTGTGATCTTGCTTCTCATTTAAAGATTCTATTGAAAATGACAATGGAGAACTTCAGTTGGCTATTAAAAGAATAAATTACACAAAAATGAAAATTTGCTAAAAATTTACTCAGCCTCAGGCACTTCCTCTAGTGAAAAAGTCAATCCTCTGTTGTCCTCTCACATCAAAATCCACCAACATATTTTGTGCTTGATCTGTGCATATTTCTCTCCTGATTCAGACAAGATGATCATTTCACCTTTTCACAAAGCAATATTGTAATTTTTTGAGTGAACTATTCCTTTAACAATAGACATACTGTAATACTGTCGCAACGTTGGCCTTGTAATATTTTTTATAGCATAACTTTTTAAAATAATATAAAAGGAATACATAATTTAATCTCAAATCTATGTTTTTTCACCATGTGTTTATGTAATTGATTATTAGCTGTGTGCTAAGCCAGATAATGTACAGTCAGCC